AGGGAGGGGGGGGGCTGGCGTCACAAAAAAGTCTTTTTACTTTCTAAGAAACTAAAATGACAAAACAGTCATGCTACTCTAAAATCTCGTATTATTTTTTATTACTATACAGTATAGTGCGTTCAAAAATAAATTTGACAAAAATTTTAACGCGTGAACTGAAATAAAGATTCAACCAAATTTCTGTTTGATCAAATTTCCATCTATTAATTTACAGTCAATAAAATTTCTTTCGATCAAATTTCCGGTAACCCTAAAAACTGGGTTATTAATGTAAAAAATCCTTTTATAATGTTTGATACAAAAATTGGGAAAAAAAAAGATATACAATTTAATGGGTAATGTCTTGTCATTTAGGGTCATTTTACTAAGTTAATTAATGCATTTTATGATTTATTAAACATATATTAAGTTGGGTTTTCTTCTCCTGCTTTTATTTATTAATTTTTTATTTTTTTTTCCACTTAGCGTATACATTTTTTTACATTGACATACTGGAAAATTTATTGTTAAGTACCAAGTATATCAAACATGATTAATCAATTTTTTTTCCTTTATTGTCAGGTTAACAACAGCATTTTCCCAAATTGATGGTCAACTTATCTGGCAGCTTAAGAACATGCGAGAAAGGGTTAGTATTACTGACCTAAAGTGTCTAATGTAAATGTAATATACATCCATATTTCATTCAAGGGCCCCTAGTTTTCCAGCAATGAAGTAGCAGCACGGCAAGCTGCTGAGATGAAGGCATACCTAGCACAAAGAACTTCTAGATAATAATTGAAGGACTGCATTCAAGCTATGTGAATGAAATGGTAAAACAAGGTATGCTGAAGCTTGAATCAAAAGACAGGACAATAAGATGTGGACATTTCAACCTAGAGCCTTCTTCATCAAACAGGACATACTTGAAGTATGACAAGAACAGGGCACAGAAAAAACTTTTGGAGATCTACTTTCTTTTTTTTTTTTTTTGCGGGAAGTAGGATTACAGGAAGTGAATATACTTATAGTTACTGTGAAAAATAAGGCCCAGAATATGAATGGACCAAACCAATTAGAGATACTTAAAAATCTAAGAAATAAGAAAGAAAAAAGAAGAAATACTGGGAAATTGAGAAATAGTAGTAGTATTTGATTAATACCATATGGAGATATGGGGTCGAAAAGCTGAATAAATTAGTGAAAAATGCTGAAAGGAAGGCATACCTAGTATTAAAGTATATTACTGATCATTTTGTAAAGCACTGTCTTTCATTAATGAGAAATTCTTATGAATTTCATTTTTTTAAAACTTAGAATTTGAACTACTGTATTAGTAGGCCTATATATCCATTATTGGGATATGCAGTTTATGTGAACAATAATACTAACAGACTTACAATAAAACTAACAGACTTAAACAATAACACTAACAGACTTAAACAAACAATAACACTAGCAGACTTAAACAATAACACAAGCGGACTTAAACAATAACACCAACAGACTTAAACAATAACACCAACAGACTTAAACTAGTTAAACAACCAACAGAATTAAACAATAACACCAACAGATTTAAACTAGTTAAACAACCAACAGAATTAAACAATTACACTAGCAGACTTAAACAACAAGCAGACTTAAACAATAACACCAACAGACTTAAACTAGTTAAAAAACCAACAGAATTAAACAATAACACCAACAGACTTAAACAATAACACTAACAGATTTAAAAAATAACACAAGCAGAATTAAACAATAACACCAACAGACTTAAACAATAACACCAACAGACTTAAACTAGTTAAACAACCAACAGAATTAAACAATAGCACCAACAGATTTAAACAATAGCACCAACAGACTTAAACAATAACACCAACAGACTTAAACAATATAACTAAGCAATTCTTTATCAAAATTAAAGGAAGTTGATACATTAAGTAGAATTTTAATACATAAAAGTTATGTAATAATTAAAAGATATACATGGATTTAAATTTAAAGAAGCCGTTAAGTAAATTACGTGTCCAATAATCATTTAATTTCGTTTTCTCTGTATTCCAGGCACCAGAGTACTTCCACAACAGTTTGGAGAGACAATTCGGAATGTCGCTTATTGACATCTTGAGGTTTAATGCAGCCCTGGATAGTTTGCATTAATAAGAATTTGTAAAAATTGATTTCAATCTTTTAAAGGAAATAAGCCCGAAATTTAAAAAATTGTTTTTTAGGAGATTAGAAGAGTACATAGTTTTAGGAAGCCAGACGCCATACTTTTGTAACTTTAGTAATTTTTGTTAAATTGGTATTTAACAATTATATGAGCCCAGGCAAACAAACTTTGAGGACGTCTCCTATCACATGATCACGTTCATAAGATTCATTCTCTGGTAAGATTGAGCGTAATCTCGTATAACCCTGGCAAGCACATTACAGGCGAGCCTCATTAAGCAGGGCACACCATAAATTTAACTACTGACACAGGTTTCCGAGGTTAGACCTGTCAAAAACCCCCTCCCCCAGTATCGGGGCACTCAGCAGTTAGGTGTCCCACCCCTTCAGCTGTCAGGTTATGAGGAGTCGTCAGTTAGGGTCCCTAGGTGAGTCTAGTTTCTGTAGGTAGTTGTTAATCAAACTGTTCGCAGCAGTGCCATAAGACGCTGTTCACCACATGCCAGATTCCTACCAGGGGTGGTTCTTACTTGGTCACAGCCAGTGGCTGTAGAGCTTTCGTGCCATGTCACTTACTGCCCTGCGCTGAACCACTCTTCACAAAAGTCATCTTTGAGGCCAGGTTGTGACACCCAGTTGAATCCCCGGCAGTTTGGTGCTGAGCTGCGACCTTCTCGTGCAAGGGTATCTGCTTGTTCGTTCTGCATAGCTTCAATGGACAAGGGACTCATTAGAGGATGTCCTTGCTGACATAAACATGTACGTCTTTGTCTTTTTGTAAAATGGTGTTGACCATTGTTGACTCCTTGAGCTACTCCCCACAGAGTCGAGAGCAAATTGTGATTTGGTAGGAAAGCTTCTCCTCCTGGCCAGGCGACTGAGCACTTGTTTCCATGGGGACCAAAACTGTTTTGACTTAAGGTCACCTGGTTATCCATATTTGGGAATTGGGATTATTGTTGCTCTTTTTCCACGCCGTCGGCATGACAACTGTTTGGTTTTGTTTAAGAGGTCCAAAGTTTGGTTGATAGTTTCATTGTGAATTTTGTCTTGACCTTGTGTTCTGACCACCTTGCACTTATCCAGTGCCTTTTACAATTCGTTCAACGTAAAAGGTGCCGTGAAAACGTCCTGGTGGGGGTACCATTCTTTGTGATCAAGCACCCTTGTTCCGCAGACATTTGATGATTCGGCTTTCAGTCTCTCTGGCTTTCTTATCCAATTTTGCAAAGTTGTTGTTGAACCTTTGGCACCACTCACCTGGAGCCATCTGTTACTGCTGTTTTTTAAAAATGACTTTAAAGGTTT